TGTTTCTTGAAAAATAACTTTGCCATTTTATTCTAGAATTATTATTAGTAGTTGTAGTAGTAGTAATAATAATAAGCCTCTGTTCAGAAGCATCATCAGAACCTACTGAAACAAGCTGTTTCATCACGGTAATACAGAAGAATTGTATCTAGGAAAAAGTAGACATTCCAACAAAGTGGCTGGAAGTTCACATCATGTTTCATTTGTCCAAGCAAACTTCAAATTTTACAGCTAATTTATAATTGTACTTTGTTTAATACCATGTTTAATCACCATACTAACTGAATGCTATACAAGAACTGCCCTGACGGTTTCCCAGCTACAGTAGGGATAAGAAATGTTACACATGGCATTGTTAATTCAGCTCAGGGCTGAGGGACAAAGCTTCCCAGGATTTCGCATAGTTGCAATAGGGTTGGCTATATGCCAAGGCTTCTGATGTTACTATAATATCGATCATTAGCCCTTTTAATTAATCTTTCCGCTCTCTAATCACTAACCTAAATGAACACAGAAAGATTTGAATGGATTTGACTTGACAAAATATTCAGCTTTCATGCAATTCAAGTCATGTTTTCTTTCCTTTTCTTGGTGGAACTGAAATTTCTTTTTATAGCCTCTAATTGAAAAATCAAATCCGTGTATAAACAAAAAAGTTATACAAATTCAAACACTGCCTTCGAAGCAGTGGATTCAAGCTCGGGTTAAACCACACCTCACGACCTGGTTGTGTGTGACATTCCAGAGGGCAGCCAGCACACTTCTCAACTTCCACTCTGGAAATGACTCTTGAAAACAAACTGACAAGGGAGCACAACGTGCTGGATTGCAGGCTCCACTCTGCGCTCGGCGCAGCATGCAGAACCCCACACATCTGTCATCCTTGTGTTTGAGGCTTCACACCGGAGGCTCTGACACCGACAACACCGTCTTGTGATCAAGAATAACCCCTGAGAACTTCCTGAAGGAACAATGCCGGTGCACTTTCAACAACTCTAAATGTTGTGTACTGTAGGTGTGCAAACATCTGTTGGGCTGAAAATTATTTTCTTGTTCTATGTTTTCATCTGCCAGCCTACAGCTGATGTAGCTCATATGTACAAAGTACACAGTACTGTATATGTACAGTTGGTTGATGTAGATCACATGCATTAGAGATTGAGAGCCATATGTGAAAGCACAGTGCTTCAGAATGAGCCAGCTGGGATGCCCAGGCTCTATTTGATTCTAAATTGCCACATGTGTGAACTATTTCCCCTGCTGAACAACGATATTGGCTCATCCAGTAATGCTGTTTGCTGAGCCCACATTTGTTCTTGTGCCAGCAGGTTCCTTGGGTGATGTTGGTGTGAGCCAGGAGTTTGGCAATATGCTACAAAATTAAGTAAAGACCAGTCCAAGAGCTTTCTCATAATCAATTCATTACTTCACAGCATTCGTATAGCACCCTTCATCTCAGAGTATCTGAGAGAGCACAGCCCTGCTGGGACCGCATTCCCCAGAATCCTCTGGGGGAAGAAGCTGCAGCTCTCGGTCACCTGACCACTTGGAGGATGGCCATTGGTCGGGTGATTGCTTGAAAAGTAGGAAGCAAGGCTGGAGAACCTCTGCACTCACCAGAGGGGGAAGAGGTGACCAAGGAATCTGTGGGTTTTGGGGAAATTGAACCGTGATTTTTCAACAGTTTGAATCTTTGATATCCCAAATATACTTTGTAGGAGACAAACCACTTCATCCACTGCTGAAGTGCAGCAATCACCTGGGTGACACAATGTACATAATGCAAGAACTGCCCAACTACAAAGCAGTTCAGATGGAGACGTGAGAACATGTTCCTCCTTCTGGTGGAACATTACGTAGGTCAGACTGTAGAGGCGCAAAGTGGAACTGAGTTAGAACCCCAAGATAACAAACGTATTGTTACTAATATAGCCATTGGATCTTTAAAGGTTTCTCAGTCGTTGGTTTTTGAAATATGTGGTCCAGAGGAGTGAATCTCCCCTACTGGTGACACTGCTGACAACAGCAGCCTGGACTCCCCTTGAGGTCCATCAGTCCAGCCTTGACCAGGTCCAGCCCTGCTTCTGAGATCTGGCGAGATCAGGCCAGGCAGTAGCGATGATGCTGGTCCAGAGGAGTGAATCTCCCCTACTGGTGACACTGCTGACAACAGCAGCCTGGACTCCCCTTGAGGTCCATCAGTCCAGCCTTGACCAGGTCCAGCCCTGCTTCTGAGATCTGGCGAGATCAGGCCAGGCAGTAGCGATGAACAAGTCCCCTTATCCCTACACTACCTTGCCTATCTAGGTACTCTGTGTATTTAAAAGGAAGCTGAGTCAGAATGAACATGAACAATGAGTTGTTCTAGCTATAATGTTCTATCCTATTTTTACAGCACGCGATGACAAGCAACACCTCAAGCCAACAACAAACCTATCTATCACTCGTATTGTTCTACATGACATGAGTGGAAAACACAAACCTTTTGAGTGGCATTTTAACAATATGAAATAGTGAGAAGGCAGATGAAATGGCCTCTGGGAAGATTTAAAAGAACGTCTTTTCTCTTTATCAGCTCTTTAGGATAACAGAGTTATTGTTTCTTGCTGTGTTCTGTTCTGAAAAAAATTAACCTGAGAGAACAGAGCAGCTTTTTAGGGTCACAATCAGTGCACTTAAACTTTTTTTGTGGCTGTTGTTTCAGAGAGTGATTTTTTTATTCTCTTTAGTTAGTGCAAACTGATTTTCACAAGACCCAAGGGAACCAAAGCCTACAGACCGCCTCAGCATTTCTAAATGTTCCTGTTGGCGGTACATTATGTCTAAAAAGCATTCAGAGAACACAAGGGACTTGGGAAATCCTGGATTTGGGAGTGAAGATATTTTCCTTCAAACAATAACAAATGTGTACTCTTAACCAGTCAGCTGATGATCACTGGTGCAAAGGCACCAATAAAATGCAGAAGCCAATCTGCACAATCAGTCTACACAATCAATTTTGCTTTGTCTAGACAAGCTTTAGTTTTATAGTTTGATGCTGGCTTTCACAAGAGTGCAGAAGCTAACACTAAAAACTTAAAAAAGAAATGTTAAATTTGATAAATATTTCTCACTCCTCACTTCTCATAGCAGTGCTCTCTGTATTTACTGTATGTATACAAGTACTGTAGGTTACTTACAAAGGCCAGACTGCCGGGCTCTGCTGATAACTGATCACAGCCTGCAGTCACAGTGGTATGGGAAATTTTAGACAATAACATGTTAGACATGTTGTTTGTTTTCACAAAAGAGACACAATCATGGACCAACATACAGTAGGCACTTTAATATTTGACTTGATCTGTTCTATCTGCAAAGATGAAAATTGTATAAAAAATATATATGTTTTTTTTCTTTTTTTAATATAATTTATAGATTTCATATAAAATATTGATATATTTTATTTTATTCTCAAATAAAAGACACCAAACATTATTAAAAACAAATTTAAATTACACTTACTGGCACGAATTGCAAAAGTTAAAAACGATTATCTGTAATATCCGAGTACTTTTCTTTTCTGGTATTCCATTAAGTTTAGGTGTCTCTAAAACAAGGTTTTTTATCCTTTTTTTACTTTATCCATTATGGTGAACTAATCTTTATATAGAACTTTGTTATACTGATGTACAGTACACAATGTGGCCGACAAAAGTAAATTATAATCGTTTTGCATTGCGCTGTGGGTGGAGTTGTCTTGCTAAACTAGATCTTTATGTATTTTTTTATTTATGGTGAAAACATGCCCCAGTCTTCTCCAGCACAACCTAATGGCTAAGCTTCAGCAAAATCCCATTCTGGGGATCCAATGGGATCCAAGTTTAAAACGAAAGTCTGGGAGTGATGACAACAACCAAGTTCAATCTGACTCGGCTGTCAGTAATTCGCAATCGCTCCTCTCCCAGACGACGTAAATACCTACGAGATTCCTGTCTCCCTCTCTTGCATCCCACCTCCATCCCATCTCCAGCCTGCAGCTGCCCCTCGGTCACCCCGCAGGGGGGTCCTGGTCTCCTTGTCCCCTGGCCAGGAGGCCAGCCCTCAGCCAAGCGCGTTCAGCCAAAATTTCGCACCATAATCCTTTCATGGCGCTTTAATCCTAGGTGCTGTCATTCCTACTGAAATTAATTTCACAGACCAGGCTGGTAATTACAGAAGGGGAGAAGGAGGAAGGAGGTGCACCCAAGGGACATTAACAGAATGTATGTAAATTCATAATCGTATACTTACTACCTGTAAGTACAGCAGGTGTGTACCCTACTGTCTATGTACTATTGAAGCAGTAGCACAAATGTGGCTTCTGTCTCATTCAGGGGTCTCAATATTGCCATCTGTGTTTCCTTCATTGCGTTCCTCATACAGTGGCTTAGTGGGAGTGTTACAGATTGAAGGTAGATTCCACAATTACTCCATGCCCACTGGGGTTCCTGGATTCCCCCCCCGCCTCCGCAGAGCTGCAGGCTTTGGTCTCCCGAGCTCTGTCTTCCCTCAGTTGGGTTTCGTTTCATTTTAATCCATTTCCGTTTTCATGCACTTTATCCTCCCAGCTTAAAAGCTGACATTACAGTAGCAAGCAAAAAAAAAGGAAATGTGGAATTAATTTTCATCAGGGAGGTTTCCTTTCTGAAATCCTGCTATTCTCCTTTTCTGTTATATTATATGTATATAATGCATCCAGCCCATTGACTTGTTTTGCTGTTTTTCAGGCATTTTCGGTCCCTCTCCCCCCTATGAATTGAAGTAATGATATATGATGATATTGCACAATTATAGCCTTTTCAGAATGGCTCTACTACTGTATATACTGTATGTGTAAAACTGGTATACCATATCTTTTGGAGACATTAACCCACGTTTTACTAAACAGGCTTCTAGATCAAAAGCCTGCACAGGCGTGTATCAGAAATGTTTGCAGATGCGGCGTAGGGCAGAGAAAGAACAGCGGCCTGTACAGTACTTACAGTTGAAGCCAGAATCAATGCTGTTCCCGGCCACCAGGCTGTTGACAGTGATTTGAAAGATGATGTGCAGCAGCAGGAAGGTGAGACTGGTAAAGCAAAGGGACTTCAGCAGCCTCCCTGTGTGGCCTGGAGGAAACAAGGAAAAGCCAGCACTGATGAGTGATTATCATCACCGTTACCACCGGACAGCACACCAACAAAACCCACCAGCTCGACCAGCCTCCTGCCCAATTATAACTCTTCCCACCTGAAACAGTGCACTTCATCGCAATCGTTCTTGACTGGACATATTGGACGAACATCCTCCATAAGGAAAAAATGCTCTTCGAAGACACAGGTTCATGTTGGGTTTTTCTCGCTGTGCAGTTAAGAGGGAATAATTCATGGGCAGCCAGCAATAACTCTAATACTGCAATGGCGAAACCACTGACGAGTGTGGTATAACATGGGACGGTCATATGTTTATGTTTTTAGAATTTTAAATTAATCCAGCTTCCAAAGAAAAGCATAAAAGTCCAAAATGGAGTAAGCCCCTGTAAAAATTCAGACCATTTGGAAATATCTGTTTTTTTTTTCATAAATGTCAGATATTCCCATAGTTTTCTTCCTTTGACCACAAATATTTTTTGTGAGTCATTAGAAAATGAGTATATCTGAGGAATATTCTCTGAAGGACACAGAATAAAGGAAGAGGTTTTGATGGGTCACGGCATCTAAGTGGGAAAGGTCTCATAAGTGAACTTTATAAGCATAAGTGGGGCTAAATCCCACAGATACAAAGCAATGTCTCCTACGCTCTGGTCCGCACAGCAAACAAAGACACAAGCGATTGTCTCCAATAAAATTAACTTGGGAGCAGTTAAACCGGTTTGCTCCACGGGGAGCCCTCAGAGATATGGAGTAAGTAGATGAAACAAAGATGAAAATACATTTTATGGCTGTGAGAAGTTTATGTTGGTCACAGATTAAGGAAGGACCTCGGTCTGAGCCTGTAGAACACAGGTCTCAAAATGTGGTTGAAATAAAGATCTACAGAGAGATTACCATCAAGCGTCAACATCGTCAAACATTCTCCTAAATCTGACATACCCAGCTCTCAAAACATGTTCTATATTGTTTTTAAATATTGTAGCGTTACAATATTATATCTACAATACAAAGGACTTTTACAGAAGAAAACATTGAGCCCTTGTATCCAGTGGGCATTAAAAAGACAGAACACACCCTGCAGAAACTGTGATTAATGCAACAGAAGGCAAATACTGATATTCAATGAAGCTGTTGGTAAAACAGAGAGACTATTATCTTAAGAAAAAGACACTGTCATCATAAATAAAAAAATGTAATGCATGAAACTAATCTAATTTACCAATAAATGAGAGGTGTTTCAGTTGTTTAGGGATTCAAATGAAACAATTCATTCACATACTGTAGACACAAAAGAGGTTGATAGCTGAAAGAAATGCATTTACTCTCCTTTAGACATACAGTAAAATGATGTGTTGATGTGTTTTGTTGATGTGCTATTATTGCTAAATGTCAGTGTGAAACAAAAGACTTATCGACCAGAAAAAATAATTACAGCACTGTAACTTACTGTAAATATTAACAAAACTATAGACATTTCTAGTTTTTACAGAGATATGTTAAATTCAAGTTTTACATGATCCAGGTGGGGCTGCACATTGGTGGTGGAGGGGATCCCCATTACCTGTAAAGCACTTTGAGATTTGAGTGGAATGTCCAGAAAAGAGCTATATAAGTGTAAAGAATTATCTATGTATATATACTTATCTACGTATTACCAAGTACTTTTGTTTTAAATAATTATTTGGACACTTCAATAAACTAATGAATTAGTATACTAAATGTATTAACCAGTGAAATCAGTCAACTTTTAAAATACACTGTAGGCAAAATTTCCTTTTTTTACGTATTGGCTGTACGGAGCCGCTGTTCCCATCAGCTGAATGCTGAAAAGAGGCATGCACCAATCAGAAGAGAACTCTCCTTCCATTTTCCACAGCATGAACTCCAAAACACTTAGCACGACATGCGGACAGATGTGACTGGACTCAGCAAATACTTATCACGGTGAGAGCTGAGCTTTGTGAAAAGGTAGTGAGGCTTCAGATGTTTATCTTTCTGCTCTCTATAATGTCTTCCTTAGTGATTCAGAGGTCCCTTTCTACCTCTCATTCTGCACGTTAACGTTACTAAATCTATCCTGTGGGGGGGGGTGGCTAATCCTGAAAACACAAAACCACAACTCAAGGACCGTAAAAACCTTCTGGAAGGTAGTAAAAGTGCGCTCGCAGAATATCTGTACACCCAGTCGAAACTACACAGAAATCTAGTGCTGTACATTTAAAAAATAGTTTATTATTATATTCTTAAGTTAGTTCATTCGAATCTGTTCATCCATGTAACAAGCTATCAGTTAGAAGTATGAAAACTAGCAGTTAAGTAAACTAATGTAGCAAGATGATAGCTGCTTACAGAAGCACAAATAAGAAACAGATGTATTTGTGGTTTGATGAGGACAGACATGCAGTAAAAGCCAAAGCAGCAGCAGCTTTTATAGGCGTCCTTACAACACATGCTTCAAGTTTACTTCACCTTGACATTGATCCCATTACATCTTGCACACAGGTAACAGGGCTTCAACTTTTCTTGAAAAACTAATATTCCAAAAAATATTACCCCCCCCTCAGGCAGGTAAGAATGCCAAGAAAATGAATCGGGGGTCTTTCTTCAGAAATATCATGCATTTCAGGAATACTTATCTTGCATCGTCATACTGTATGTACGTTTGAAGTCTCCGTATGTTCTCAGATCATACTCTTGTTATAGGTGAAATGAAAAATCACATCAGAGGCTTTAAGGAACCTTTTCTCTTTCAGACTCTAAGCTGTGGGAATGACCTTTCTATGAAAGTAAAAAATTTAAATTGTTTTCAATTGTCTGCTTTCATTTTTTTATTGCTCTTAATGTTTTGTAAGTCCTCACACTGAGTGTTTTATTTATTGTTAAATATCTGAGGAACTTCTCCTTTCTAATTAAAATAATGTGAATGCATAATTTTGATTTAAGAAGTCCAGTTCATGCTTAGATCATCTTGAAGGGAATTTATTTTAGAGTATTCATTTTAGTATTTTAATTCATTATAATCTGCCGTGAAGGATCTGCCAGAAGGATGTACAGTACGTAGCAGGTAATGGGCGATGAGGCATAATATATTTATGAGAGTTTGTCATTATTTCAGTCTGAGCAGCTATTACACATTTCTACACACCTCGCCGCTTGGGCCAAACGGTTTCCTCACGTTTTAAACTATTCTTATAATCTAATGTTCCTACATAAAACAAGGCCATCTCAGTAAGCTATAAATGTTCATTGAGGGTTACTAACAAGAACTGTGTGTACAGTGGCACTTATTGTCTCTACATGTTTCTATTAAACAAAAAAATAAAGATAAAGAACACCACAAAACTATCCCACTGTCCATTCACATACAGTTCTGTAGGTATGCGCTGTATCTGTATTAGAACTCACTCTAAAGCATGCCATTCGTTTTTAGATTTTTGTTCTGCTTTTAAAATACATTTAAGGCATACCACTGTTAGCCACATAAGTCAGAAAATAGAGTGTTTCATTTTGTTAAACACAGGGCAATTTGCACATTAAAAGGATGTTTAGATTTTATTTAACTGTTGCAAAATAAATGGACACCTTTTTATTTATACAAAGTTACAAAAAATGACATATGACTTTGTGAATTTCTTAAAATTGCAGTGAGCTTTGTAAAATGCATGTTTTTACAGCTGGATGGTATTATCTTAAACACCATAAAAGATGTGGGTTGTGCATAGAGCAACACACTGTTCATTCTTAAAATCCTCTAACTGCATCTTGAAAAAAAACCTAACCCACATTCCTCAGACAACCTGCAGACAAGAGACATTCAACAGCGCCAAATGCACGAAACGAAATAAATCCACATCCTGTAGCCTTCGTTGAAGTAAACCAATAGAAAGACTGATCTGGACCTTATTTTAAAACCGAAACTCCATGGCAGGATTCCTGTTGGGGTTTTGATCAATGCCATAGGCAGAGATCAAAACATTTTTCAGGCTAACTTGTTACAAATTCTGCTAATTCTGTGGGTATGAAAAACACTTACAATTACCGTGCAAACTTTTCACCCCTGTTCTTATACACCAATAAATTACTGCACTGTATGTCAAATTCAACTCCTTCTTCTGACAGACAGTAGGTGAAGTCTATAACTAGAGTTGTCAATAATTGTTGTTGGGTCTTCTGATGGACCAGCTGGTGAAAGATGAGTTTGCACCTGAAATGCTTCAATCCTATTGAGTGACAGAAGCAACCACGCACTCATCTACTGAGTGAAGAAAAGGAGATCCCATCACAGAAACTGAAATCCCACTGAGTAAAAGAGGAGGGAAGCGCGCATTCACTGCAAATAGAAACTGGGAGACAGAGTAATCCCAAGGGATTCCAAGGAGAGCTGGGATTCCAGACAGGATTGAAAGACCACCAACCAGACCACCGCACAGAGAAAGCAGAGAAGCCCCAAGTGTTATGGAAGGATTGAAGTCCGGCTCTGGAGGCAACATGACATAACAGCCATGGAACAGCGGACCAGGGTGTGCACTCCTCGGAAAGATCGATGGGGTCCCCTAATCCATAGAACAAATCCAACCAACAGGCCAGCTACAACACCACACCAGAATCCAGGCGGAGGGCTACAGGGTGAAGCTCTTTAATATGTGTTGTGACCTCACTGCAGGGAGATATTTGAACTCTTCACCTAGCAGATTTTCTGCTTCTCATTTCCTCATGTCTGCATTAGTCTCATCAGAACAGACTCAGCAGTATAGCGTTCTAGCCCTGATATTTTGATTCTATTGAAAATCAAAACTTAAACAACAGCTTGCAGTCCATATAATTCCCACTGCATTCCCACTGACAGCTTGAGGGATAAAGTTAGAACAAATATAACTGCAGACAAAGGCCCTCATTCACCCAGAGAAATAGCAGAATTCAAATAGATAAAAACAATGGGAAATACTTATCTCTGGAATGCAAAACAGTACAGAATG